GGGGGGGGGGAGCACTGCATATGATATATTGGGCCATTCACTCTTCACCTGGAATTCTGAGGTCTGTCTGTTAATGGAACACATTGGTTATTTTGTTTTAGCTTAGACATATATTTAATAACACAAAAGTTTCTTACCTACAGTATCCGGCTTGGTTGCCTGAATGTGGAGGTATCCAGACTCCCGAAGCACAGCATACACATTCTTCTCAAAGTATGGATAGATAAGCTTGACATCTTGTCTCGTCAATCCCACTAACCATGGCAGATAGCGCCCAAGAATCAACGATATGAGCACTTTGAACCCACCTTTACCCAAGAACACTACATTCAGGTGGAGTCCTTTTACTGACCTAAAAGAGAAAGAAAATGCTGGAAACAGTCCTTACTCCATCACCATACCCCCAAGTCCACTTAAGATTATCTGAGGCAAGCATGGAGTTAATATGAACTAGAAAGCAGCAGTGTGTCTTACAGTGTGTCTTTTGAACTGCTGGACCCTGATTTTTGTGAGAACATGTTTGCCCCTCTTCTGAACATGTTTTTGGGGGAAGCAGCTGCTTTTGCTGTATTATGGAGGGAATGGCAGGTGAACCCTGTATTTGGGCTCTTCTGTTTCTGTAACATGGCACCCTTTTTGTTTTGATATAACACCAGTGGTTCTAGTAGAATAGACTCACTGGCTCTGGTAAGTTGTCTCACCCTAGGGACAAGCCATCTCCCAGGTTATACTTTTCCTATCGCTAAGACTAAGAAGATTTTGCCCCTTGGCCACTACTGATAAGATATGTTGGCTGGTGTCCCGAAGTGGAGATACTTCACCATTCACACATTTATCAGTGTGGGACCGGCAGTCATTGACACATGCTGGGCATTATATTGTTACCTGCTCCTTACCAGACCTGCAATTATGGCTTCTGCTAGGAGGGAAGTCTTTCATCACCATTTTCCTTTGCGGCTCTGAGATGTCATGTGATCAAGGTGAGAGCTGCAATGGAAGCCAATGTTGGAAGATATGAAGAAGTATCATAATAAACCATGTCTTTTAGAAAAACTTCAGTGTGCCCACCTATACCTTTGCTTGCTACACTGTCTTTAGCCCACAGAAATCTGCACCTACCATAAAAAGGCTTGTTGGTTGCGTTTGCCAGCCGGACCAAAGGTCTTTCCTTGCTAAGATGACATCAGACCAGTGGCATGACGTTTGGTATATTACATCACTTTAGTAATATCGCTTTTATCCTATAACAAGACACAAGTGTAGCCAGGACCATCCCTCTAATGAGGCAGCCTGGGCCACCCCATCTCACAGTACCTAGGTTTTCTCAGGGCAGATTACTGCAAATGCAAGCACTGCTGGTCAAATATGGTACTATATTGTCTCAGGCAGCATCTCTTTGGGTCACGGGCGGGGGCTCCAAATGGCATGCACAATATTTGCAGTGTGCCTGCTGCCCCCTTTCCAGCCATACAGTCCCAGGTTGCTAAGAGGTGGGTGAGGAAATGTGTAAGAGCCATACACATCTGCCTGCTCAGGTCTTAGCAACCTAGGATACTCTGGCGGGCATCCAACCCAACTCCTGGCAACCAATGACCATCATCAGAGCCTAGAACTATAACTAGGCTCTGATGATGAAGAACTAGAGAACACCTGATTGAGAGCTTTATATCTTAACAGGTTCTTGTGGTACAGTAAGACCCAGGTGATAGACTTTAAATTGAAGAAGTTTTGGATCTGTATCTGGACCCAGAGCTCTGGGGAACATTTCCAAATTCTGATAATGAAAAGCTCTTTAGCTGTAAGCTCTAGATCCACATCAGGCTCAGGTAAGAAAGGTCTACATACAGTAACTTAGAAGCTCCAGATTTACCACCAAGCTGCAGTAAATCATATCTTCTAAAGTCAAATCCAGGTACTGAAAGTATCTCACACGTTCTAAATCAAGGACCTTTAGGGCCAAGAAATAGTCGCTTTCCCAACAGTTACAAAAAAGGCTTTTGGAATTATGTTGTCAGCTAATTTTTTGGATACGTTCCATCTGTTGTCATGAGCCAAAAGCCATTCCTGGTCTATTTGGGTCTCCCTGTGTATTATAGTAACTGGGTCCCCCCATCTCACAGTACCTGGGTTTTCTCTGGGCAGATTACTGCCAATGCAAGCACTGCTGGTTAAATATGGTACTGTACAACTGTATAATATAACAAACTATAGTAGGATGGTGGGGAAGGTGGTGGGTAGGTGACCCACTTATTAGTTACCATTGGAGGTATTTTTGCATGTCAATGCACAAAAGGGTCCAAATCAAACTCAGATTTTTTTTTTTGTGGGGGGGGGGGGG